GGTTCATTACAGTATTCTCTCTAATTTTGTCTGTTTGGAATGGTCCATCACAAAAGGTTATACAGTACAAAAAAAGCTAAGCTTTGGAGCAAAGGAGAGTGCCTGGGTCTACCGCTTACTGGGCCAATTAACCTTTGACTCAGTTTCCCCGTGAAGACCAAAATGGCACCTACCTCATAAGATTGTTGTCAGCACGAGGAAAGTCCTTAGCACAGTGCCTGGCACATGAGAAGAGCCCAATCAGCGTTTGCTCTCATTATTCATAAAATAAGAGGTTTGGACTACTTCCTCTCTATAGTTCTTTATAACTGAAGGGGTATCTGATTCCAACCTGTTTTTTCCACATCTTAACCCCCTTTTGTTTTTTTCTGCTACTCTGTGTTCACCTTTCTGGAAAGTCTGACTTCCTCTTTTGCTCACCTTCCTTTGCTTCGGGGCCTCTGGACGCCTTACCTGGGTGGCCAGGTGTCAGTTCCGTGAGGCGTGTTGGACTGATTCCTGGTTGCAGGTGCAGGTTTCTCATTTCTGCACCTGCTCCCTCACTATCTGGCTCTTTTTCTGGTAGCTTCCTGTCCCTTGAAATGAGAGCTTGAAGCTTCAGGAGGAAGGTAGAAACTTGGGGTGGAGAAGGGCGGGTAGGATGCAGTTACATCCTGACTCCATGGCTCTTCCTTAACCTCCCCACCCCACGATGGGGGGGCGTGGGTAAGAGTCAGAATGGGAGGGGCCTGTCTCGGCTCTGCGTCTCCCTGGCTGTGTGGGATGGGTCAAGGCACTTGACTTTGCTGCACCTCAGTCTCCTAACTTGTAAAATGAGGACAGTAATACTCATGTTTTTGTTAATCCAGAGTGATGACTGAGAGTGTCAACTGCAGAGCTGGACTGCCAGGGTTAAGTCCTGGCTGTCTCTGCTTTGTATTAACTGTGTGACTTCTTATTAACTGTGTAATCATGGACTTCTCTGTGACACAGTTTCCTCACTGGCAAAATGGGAATAGTAATAGTAAGCTACCTCATAGGATTGTTGTGAGGACTAAATTGAACACCACCTAGCACACAATGGCACTTAGCACATGTTGGCTGTTGTTGCTGTCTTCATCATTATCATCATTTTGCACAGTGCACTTTGGTTGCTTGCTCATGTGCCCAGCACCTCACTTCAGGCATTCTTTCAGACACGCGGAATTCCCACACCAACCCTGGGGTCCACCCATAAGTTCCAACCAGCATGGTGTCCAGTGGATGTGTCATATACCAGGGTCATGCAAGGGAAAAGACTGTGTTACACCCTTCCCAATTTCAGATCTTTCCTTCACCCTAAGGAGATTTTGGACTAAAATAGTTCCAAAGATGAACCTTGAGTGGGATGGGACAGGGGAGGAGAAAGGAAGAAGAGCAGTAGCCTACGGGCTGTCACACTTAGTGTGTGAAGTAAGAGACCTCCCCTAGGAAGACCAGTGATGGAGGTTCAGCTTGGAACATCTTTGCTTCTCACCAGCCCTGCCAAAGAAAACACATCACCCTGGCTTGGCTACACCCAACTCCTCCTACAGGCCCCTTGAGGCCATGAGCTTATGGGTCATGTAAGGGGGTCCACCATTTGGTGCCTGGAGCTGTTAGTTACTCCCCTCTTTGGAGTGGCAGCTTAACTCCTCAAAGCTTCTGGCTCTGAATCATTACTCAGCATTGGATGGAGCCCAAGAAATGTGGAAAACAAGAGTGACGGGAAACAACATAACACCAGAATCACAAAGGCAATAGGCCTGTGGAAAATAGGTCCTTGGTCTGAGGCTGGTAGAGGGGTTTGAGGTAGTTACCCCTGGGCCAGAAGTCACTCAGTTCTAAAGACCATCGTTCAGAATTACAGGGCATGACATTTGGTCACTGGGCTCCTCTAAGGCATCAGATCTACTTCTTGACTTGAGACCCAACACTAATAAATATACATTCCTACTCACCCCATACCCCTACAATCCCCCAGACTATAGAATTGCAGGCAGGAAAACTTGTAAGGACAATCAGCCCTTGTGCTCCCTCCTCTGGGTGTTGAGAAAGGTCTGGAATGGAATTAGCTTTGTGGGGATTTCCAGGTGCTGAATCCCTGGAGCATGTTTGAACTGAGCTTGGTTGTTTGCACCTGCCTGACAAGAGATGGGCCAAGCCACACCCGGTCATGCCAAGTCTTGGGTCCAAAGTGTTTGTCACAGTGTCTCAGCAAAGATGTCAGGCCAGATTTAACAGAAACAAAAGTAAAATGACTAACAACCACAACACCAAAAGCCCAGCTAGAGAGAGTGATATACCTTGTAGCTTGGTATATTTTCCAAAGTGTAGGTAAAGAAAAATCTTATTTCTGAGTAAAAAGAGCATGTGATTTTGTACAATCTGGGCATCAGGATCTCAAGTCCAATGGTCAGGTGTGTGTATGAGGGAGAGGTGAGGGAGCTTGGTTTATAGCACAATAGTGGGAGGGATTTTTTTTTTTTCTGCCTTGGACTTTATAAAGACAAAAAAAAGCATTTGTTGAAAATGACAGGGCCATTTTCCGTAATGAGAACCATGTTATATTTAGTATACAAATAGTACATAAGCAATGGATTATAAACCAGGGGATCTCAAACTCCCTCCCAGTTTCCATAACATGTCCATGTAATACACTTCCACAGACCCAGTCTGGCTTTGTTCTCAATGGTAGAATGGGGATGTGAGGCCAGCACTTCTGGAAATGGGGAGGACAATTGTGGATCTGAAAGGGATGTTATGGGTTGGTTGTGTCCCTTCAAAAAGGATATATTGGAACTTGATAAGGGATTAATATCGAGAATATGTAGAGAACTCCTAAAACTCAACAATGAAAAACCAAACAACCCAATTTAAAAATGGGCAAAGGACTTGAGTAGACATTTTGCCAAAGAAGATATACAATTGGACAATAAGCACATGAAAAGGTACTCATCATTAATCATCGGGGAAATGCAAATCAAAACTCAATGAGGTACCATGTCACACCCATCAAGACAGCTACTACCAAAAGTCAGAAAATAAGTGTTAGGATGTGGAGAAATTGGAACTGTTACGCACTGTTGGTGGGAATTAAAATGGTACACCCATTGTGAAAACAATATGGTGGTTCCTCAAAAAATTAAAAATAGAATTACTGTATGATCCAGCAATTCCACTTCTGGGTGTATACTCAAAAGAATTGAAAGCAGGGTATCAAAGAGATATTTGTATACCAGTGATCACAGCAGTATTATTCCTAATAGCTAAAATGTGGAAGCAACCTCAGTGTTCATCAATGGTGGAACAAATAAGCAAAATGTGCTATACACATACAGTGGAATATTATTTAGTTTTAAAAAGGAAGGAAATTCTGCAGTATGCTACAACATGGATAAATCTTGAGGACATTGTGCTAAGTGAACTAAGTCAGTCACAAAAAGACAATTACTGTCTGATTCTACTTATGTGAGATACTTAGAGTAGTCAAAATCATAGAGACAGAAAGTAAAATGGTAAGTGCCAGGGGTTGGGAGTGGGGAGGGGAATGGAGGGTTATTGTTTAATGGGTATGGAGTTTCTGTTTTATAAAACGAAAAGAGTTATGGAGCTGGAAGTTGGTGATGGTTGCACAACAATATAAATGTATTTAACATCAGTGAACCATCCTCTTAAAAATGGTTAAGACGGTAAATTTTATATTATGTGTATTTTGCCATAATAAAAAAAAATGGAGAAAAAAGTCTTTTCTAAAATTTTATGATCCCAAGTAAATATCATAAGAGTAAAAAATGCAGAATATGCTTTTCAAATTTCTCATATTCAACATCAGAAATCATTTTTTTGAGGAAGTTCAGCCCTAAGCTAATATCTGTTGCCAATCTTCCTCTTTTTTAATTTTTTGCTTGATGAAGATTAGCCCTGAGCTAACATTTGTGCCAATCTTCCTCTCTTTTGTATGTGGGATGCCTCCACAGTATGGCTGACAAATAGAGTTGGTCTGCTCCTGGGGTCCAAATCTGCAAATCTGGGCAGCCAAAGCAGAGCATGCAGAATTTTAACCATTCGGCCACAGGGCCAGCCCCAGAAACCTTTATTAATAAACAGTAAGTGGTGCTTTGCAAAAAAAAACACCCTGGAAAATCTTGGCTTTTGGCATTTGTATTTAAAAGAGTAAAAAGTACTAATAGTACATTACTATTAATGCTGACAATAAGCAGCAAGTTTTAATTTAAATAAATTCTTTAAACATCTAAACAAAAAAGATGTTAGAGTCCTAACCCCCCACACCTCACAATGGGATCTTATTTGCAGATAGGGTCTTTACAAAGGTAATCAAGTTAAACGAGATTGTTAGGGTGGCTGGGCCCTGATCCAGTGTGACTGGTGTCCTTACACAAAGAGGAAATTTGGACCTAGACAGACACACATAGAGGAGAGACAATGTGAAGAGACAGAGGGAGAAGACGACCCTCCACAAGCCAAGGAGAGCGGCCTGGAACGGATGCTTCCCTTGCGCTCTCAGAAGGAGCCAGCCCTGCTGACACCTCGATCCCAGAGTTTTATCCTCCGTCACCATGAGATAATAGATTTCTGCTGTTTAAGCCACCCATTTGTGGTACCTTGTTATGGCAGCCCTAGTAAACTAATACAAGGAGCAACAGGTGACCCTGTGACGCATCCCCCAGCTGCCTCCTCAGGACCTGCCTTGTCAACAGTGTGGAGAATCCGGAGGGTCCCGGATCCGTCTTCAGCTCCTTCTCATGAGGAACCGTTTTAAACCCATAACCAGTGGGGCTGAGGAAGCAGTCTCTGTGTTTGTTGGTCTGACCCAGGTCCTTTCCTGAGCCCAGAGCAGCTGTGGCCCAGCTGGACTGGCCTTCACTGGACCTTCCATCTCTCAGCTCTCAGCCTGGTGTTCCTGCTCACAGAGAGCCCCTGGTCTTCCTCTCCTTGGAGCGGCCTGGGTTTGATGTCCCTCAATCTTCTGTTTTTTCCAGGCACAGTGACAATGGGAAAGATGTGAAAGCTCCTTTGGTAGAAGAATCCTACTTGGAGGTTGCACTAAGATGGCCCCTCTGTCTGTCAGACGTTCTGACACTTCCTGGGAATCATCACTAACCGTCCTCTGAGCAACAGTAACAGACAATTACATGTTGAAAACATTTGTCCTAACGTATCGTGTGGGTTTTACTTGGGCATCTACACAGGTTTCGCCATGAGAAACAGCTAGCTGCCCCAGCCAGTGATTGGCATAGAATCCCAGGCTTGACTTGCAGCAGCCACGTCTGGTTCTGGTTTAGTGAGGGACCCAGCTTTATGGGGCAAACCTATCCGGTTGAAGCTTCTATTGCTTTAACTCTTTTGGATTCTCGTCACATTTGGGCTGCTTGCAAATCAATGCCTGTGACCCCTTGGTTCCCAGGCAAGAGGGGGATGGTTTAGCAAAGTCCACCACTCTTCCAGAAAACCAATTCAAAATGCACTATACATGTTCTCTTTTTTGTAGGACTACAAATAAACAAGAATACACATTTGTATTTTCACAAACATAGGTAGGATGAAAAAAAAATTATCAACAAAGGCGAGAAGGAAGTGGAGAAATGGGATATGGCAGGAAGACTTCTTAGGTGTACCGTGCTTTAGAATTCTGACTTTTGAAACACGTAAATGAATTACCCTTTAAAATAAATTTTTAATATAAAAAACATACTATCTGTTGAATGAGGCCTCAGAGTCTCATTTTTGCTTAGGAAACACACCCTGTGTAATTTGTAAAAAGTTATCTTATTTTAAATGCATATGTTACCCTATGTTTAAAAATGGTAGTAGTTTATTTGTTTGGCAGAAATGAGAGCCTGTAGAACGTGTTGGCTGTAAGGCCTCAGTGGGCATTAAATGCTGGAGTAGGATTTGGAAGACCATGACCTCTTAGTTTGGGCTTCATAGGGAACCAGCTGAGTGGCTTGGATGAATCACTTTACCTCTCTGCTCCTCATCTCTTCACCTGTAACACCAGCTTAATTCTACCTCTTCACTGTGCTCCCAGGGTCCTCATGAGGCTCAAATGTGCAAACACTTTGAAAGCACCATTGCCATCATTCCTAACAGTCCAGTTTTCAACTGAACATGTACAGTTGGAGGCCATTGTCCAGGTGGAGGCCATTGCAAAATATACAAAAGCTAACTTGAGACAGGGTACCATCTTGAGACTATTTCCATTTGTCTCCATAGCACTGTCCACAGACTGGAGCCACTCAAAGGCTGGGCATGGGTCTCCTCACTTTCCTACTCTCACTTGCACAAAGCATTTTGCTAAGGGTTAGAGGAGTCGTCTAACAAAAAAGGTGAAAGCAAGGGAGGTAGAAATTAAGTCTCTTCTTCTGGATGCCAGAAAAAGAACTCTGGTTCTGCAAACAAGTAAGTTTTAGGAATGCTTGGTGATGACTTCAAATTCTTAGGCTTCTAATCCTCTCCCTTCCTTACTTTAAAATACACACAAAATTAAGGAGGAGTTAAGAAAGGTGGCAGGATTTTTGAAAGAGGTTTCAAGAGTGAGACAGGAAAAACAAGAAAATAAACCACACAACGTGTCCTGACATGTTGATATGTTTCCCTTTAGTTTTTTTCTCCCCCTAGAAAAATATCTAGGATTTTGTCTCCTCTTAACAAAAATTTGGATGGAAAGTTGGACATAATCCCCAGACCTGTAAAAGTTCTTTGTGCGGCCGGCACTGGAGTGCTTTTCTTACATTCTCTCAAGAAGCCAACCTACCATGTGGCGAGTTTGTGAAGCCAGGAAGGGAGGCGGTAATCTGAGAGGAGCTGCAGGGCGGCTCCCCAGGGCACAGCAAGGCGGGGCCCCAGCTCCACCCGGCCGGCCTGGCCTGGGCCCCTCCTGTTGCCACAGGGGAAAAGGAGGAGAGACTTACATTTATAAAAGCAGGAACCTACCCGCTGTAGAGGTCCTAAAATGCCGAGGGAGAATTCCCATTTGGGAGGTCAAATCTAGGTCAGAGGAATTACCTAGTCATTTCTGAAAACCCTCTAATTCAGGGGGTCAAGCCAGGCTGGCAACACCCCAAATCATTAACTAAATCTAACTTGATCTTTAAAAACTTAACCTAAGACTGTTTTGGTTCTTTGGCCTGAGGTAATTTTTCTGATGGCATTTCTGTTACTTCCTGTTTGCGCCTGAGCTTTCCTTGCCCAGCTTCCTTTTCGGGGTTCAGGTTGCCTCGACTACCATTTCCACTGAGATGTATGGAAAAGGGGCGTGTGTGTGTGTGTGTGTGTGTGTATGCCTGTGTGTGTGTGTTGGGTTGGAAGGCAAAGAAATAATAGCAACTCACATTAAATTTGCATGTTACAAAACACTCTTCTCAGACATTCATCCTTTCGTTTTCTTTCCACAACAACACTAGGAGATAAGCAATACCAATATGCCAACATTACAGATGAAGAAACTGAGGCTTAAAAAGGTTGACATGTCCAAGGTCACACATCAGATAAAGGAGCAAGCCTGGATCTGAGTCCCCAGAATCTAAAATTCTTTTCATTTATTTAACTCGTAGAGGAACTCTAAATTTAATTTATTTGGCAGAACTCTATTTTAGGGAGGATTTATTTATTCAGTCTTTATTACAGAGCTTATTCCTGAAGTGTAAAGAAAGATTCAGCTTAGGCCCTTCACTGGAGCAATGGAAGAATTCTTAAGGACCCACTATTTCGGTTTTTGGCAACTCTTCTGCAGCCTTTCAACACGGCCATCCCTGCGCCAGGCTGGGGCGGTCCCCGTTGCCGGACCCAGGGGTGCATTGTCTGTGTCAGGCAGTAGGGGGAGCGTGTGTGCAAGACCAGGAAAGCTGCTCAGACTCAGGCAGGAAATGTCTGCGACCACGTGTCCTTAGCAGGCCGTGTTGGAAAAGTATTTTTTTGCTGCTTAGGTGCTTAGATCTCCGGGCTTCTCTGCAAAGATGTGTACTTACTGACTTGTAGGGTGGAAAAACCAGCCTAAGGGAGTTGTAGAAAGCGGTTGCTGATGCCCACTGCTTTAAAGGGAGCAAAAGCGTCCACATGGCCTCTGAGGAAGGACCCCAGGCTCTGGGCCCCTGCAGGTCAGAGAAGGCCCTTGAAGCTTTGCCTCTGTGTCGGCAGAAAAGACACAGAGGCCCAGACAGTGGGCCTTCCTGGCTCCAAGGATGGCGCCACCTGCACCCAAAACCTGCCTGAGAGGGCAGGAATTTGCACGGTCAGCAGCATGAGAATTAGAATGTACACTGCAGGAGGGGAGAGCTGTCCATCTGGTTTTTCCCTGTATCTGAGCCTTTCAGAACGGTGCAGGGAGCTGGCTGGGCTCTCAAGTGCCTTTACGGGGCACTTGCTTGACAGAGCCTGTTAACTCATGCTGCGTTTTGACAAGGACCTTGAAGTCAGATGGAAAAGAAACAAACACTTCTGACATTCCATGATCTTAAGCCCAGAGTAAAACTGGGGAGAAGCTTCTGAGGTGTGCACTAGTTCTGGAATAACTCTGAGTGCTGACAGGTCACTTTTACTCTGGGATGTAGAGTTCTCTCATTTTCCTTTCTGGACCAAGATTGTAGTTTCTTAACCTGGGAAAGAAAGTTGCAGCAGGGGGTATACCCTGAGGGCTGGCTGGCAACAATTTCCCTCCCAGTGAAAGAGAGAAGCAGCAAAAGTTGATGTTTGCCTACACTTTGGATTTGTATATAGAAGATAATTGATCTTCTCTTTTTAATGGTGGTTATTTACAGAAAACACTGACTTGGTCTTGGTTCCAAACACACAGGAAATTTGTACTCGAATGTACCTGCTCCTGTAATTTCTTTTTCCTTTTGGTTTAAAATGTTGACTTTCTGTTTTTCTAGACCAGTAGAAAAGATATTAAAGTTTTCTGCAAAATGACAGTGTAGTGGTACCTTCATGCTGTTTTAAGGGTAAAAACTCTCATCATCGTGAATAGGTTAAAAAGACATAATCAGGGTAACCAAGATGGGAATGGACAAAATGGTGACCACTAGGAGTACATGGCAACCATGTTCTTTGGATCCCCATTCTTCTCAAGGTTTCCCCTAATACAGTGATACCTGTGTATCACTTACATTTATTATCACAGGGATACCTATGCATCCCCAATATAATGGTATATGGTGCATAACTATATGTTGAGTTGTTATATGATAAGGAATTTAAATAATCTGTAATGCTTCTTATTTCTCATGGCCCAAGACTCCATCAGAAAATTTACTTTACATATGCAAACACTCTAGCTCAAGTAATTAATTTATTCGATCACCCGTCATTGAGTGCTCTTCACGTGCTAGGCAGAGGAAGCAAAGGTGAAGCCCTGTCCATGAATAACTCACAGTCTGGTAAGAGAGACCTCCCATTCTATTGCAGGCATGTTTAAATATGTAAGAGAGCCTGGAGGGGGGAATTCCACATGGATGAGGTGGTACTTGTCAGGAGCCCAGGCACTGGAGTCAGGCTGCTAGAATTGAATCCTGGCTCTACCATTTCCTAGCTGTGTGACTGGGGCAAGTTTCTGAACTGATCTGAGTCCCAGTTTCAACATTTATATTATATGGGAAGAATAATGGTACCCATGTCATGGGTTTTTATTTGTGAAGATCCAGTGGAATGCATCATAATAAATACTCAGTGTGTATTGGTTGGTGATGATAACGATGATGGTGATGGTGGAGGTGAAGTGAAGATGAGGCAGAGGAGATGGAGAAGGCTTCATGGAGACCTGTAGTGTCAGGAATTCAGTGGTTAAGGGAGGGAAATGTGGAAGAGTGAAGAACATTCCAGATAGGGCTCAGGAATGTGTTTTAACAAGCCTTCCAGGCGATTCTAGTGCTCACTGAAGTTTAAGTGGTCAGCTGTGGATGTTAAGTAAGGGAATGAGATGCTTAGATCTTCATTTTTAGAGAGAACACATTGGTGGCTGTGTAAAGGATGGATTGGAGGTAGGGAGACAGGACGCAGGACAACAGGTTAGGAGCCTGGAGCCTAAGTGAAAGATGACAGGGGCTCGAGTTCTGGTCATGGTGGTGGGCACATGTAGAAAGGGAAAAATGCATCATGTGTGATAGTGGTGAAACAAAGGTCATGGTAAAGGGGAGACCTAGAACACATTAAAGTGTAGGGTCGACCAGATTTGTTAATTGGATTTAGGGGTGAGGAAGAGCAGGAGGCAAGGGTGAGTCCAGGGATGGTGAACACAGGGCTTTTAATACCAATGACTAAATGGTGCCTCTGTGGTCTTGCTGAGACCGTTCATTTGCCCCTCCCTCTCCCTCCTTCATCACTGCCAAGGTGACTGACAGCATGGATAGGCATCCATGCAGGAGGTCTGGCTCCCCTCTGGAATGCACCGCTCTCTCCAACCACAGCCATCACCTCCCCCATCACGCCCCCCACGGCTGAGGGAGTCATTCCACCAGCCGTGGTTACTGCCACATAGGCTGATGAGTCACTCTCCCAGAACAGCTGGTGGCCAATGTTCTTCTCTTCCACAGTTTGGCAGCACTTCCAGGACCTGCCCCTACCCTCCAAAAAAGCATTTTGACCCACCCTTTAGTGCAAGCTCTCTTAGCAGAGCTCGCCACCCACTTCTCCAGGATCAGAGGATCTCTCCTCCAAAATTAGACTCAAATTATTGCTCTGTCTACATTTTAACTCAGATTATTAACTCGTTATTACTTTGTTACTGCCACGTCTGAAGTAGAAAGATTGTCAGAGGCAGGCAGTAGTGATTCCTGTAAGAATGACACTTCTTTCCCTGAAAGCTGTCTTCTTCAAAGTATAGTCTGTGTAACACCTTCTGTATCAAAATTATTTGAAGTTTTGGTCAAAATGCAGATTCCTGAGTTCTCCCATAGACCTCCTGAATACTGGGGTTGGAGCCTAAGGTTAGAAATCAGGGAATTTATGTTTTTAAAAAGCATCCCCAAGTAAGTCTTAAATTACCTACTGAAAAGTGACAGTGGTGGCACTAGAATTCCTTTTGTAATGCTTCTGACCCACTGTGCAGCTAGGATGAACTCACAGTCCTGTGGGCCTTGCCAGCTTGCTTGGAGGAAGGCCGTGCAGCCTCTCCTGGGAGAGGACACCATTCTAGAGCCTCCCAGATCAGCACTATTGCTGTTCTGGTCATTTCCTCGAGGCAGTATGGGCAGCGTGCAAATTAAGCACAGGCACGTAAAACGAGTCTAACCTATCTGTTTAAAAAGACAAATTAAACGCGTTCTCATATTCAAAGTAATAGTGTTGGGTTACATGACAATATTCCTTTTTCCATCGACAAGTTAAACGTGCTCCCAAATTCCAAGTAGTAGTATCAACTTACCACCCACAGAACATTTTTTGATTGTTTTTCTTGGTTGGAATAATGGATTTCTCCTAAGTGAAATCCTCTCTCACCTTTTCCTTTTATGCCCAAAGACTGACCAAGGTTGGCAAAGCAATCTTGCTGGTGGAGCTAAGTGGGATGCTGTGCAAAGTTCACTGAGCCCCTGGTGACATTCCAGGAGGGCACCAACCCCAGTGTGCTTTGTACTTTGAGGAACACAGAAAAGCAATAGGTCCATGGACACATAGATCCAAACAGGATTCTGAAAAATAAATTAGAGGGTTCTGGTTAATTGGATTTGTTTTCCTTGTTCAGCAAGTATTCACTGAGGCCAGAACACAGCATTCAGTTAAGGGCTGAGGGGATAAAAGGTGGAAAAGCCATGATCCACGCATTGCAGAGCGTACGGTATGGCTGGCAAGATGAGACATGCGCTTCAAATTAAATACCAATACACGGCAGTAAATGTTAATAAGTGGTCGGACATCAAATGCTGGCACCACTCAGAAGATAGAGAGAGAGCTCTCCCAGGGCTGGAATTCAAGCAGGGCCTAAAGCTGCTCTGAAAACCTGTGGGAGATGGGGAGGGTCAGAGAAGAAGCCTAGGTGGAGACCTAGGGAGCAAAAGGCACAGCACTGGGAAGAGAGAGTTGGTGTTGGGGACAGTCAGTGGATGGGTCTGGAGGAAGCCTGGGTCTAGGGTTGGAAACGGTGAAAGATAAAGTTCAAGCTTCATTTCTAAACATTTACCAAATACTCATAGTCTGTCAGGCACTGTGTTCAGAACTTGAATGACATTTTCTTGTTTAAATCATACAACAATATTGAGGGGTCAGTATTATCCCATGTTCCATTTTAACATGAGGAGATTGGGGCTCAGAAAGGATCATAACTAGCCCAAAGTCACACAGCTAGTAGATGAAGAAGCCAAGAGGCAAACCCAGGTTGACTTACCTCCAAAGTCTGTGCGTTTTGGGAGGCTCTTTTTGGCCTTTATCCACTTCTCCAAATCATATTGCTGCTTGCAAGAGAGGCCCAGCAGGGAGAATAAAGTGAGGTCAGGAGGCTGAGTGCTCCATCCTGTTCATGTGGCCTGTAGCCTCTGCCTGGCAAAGGCAGTGTTTCTTGTCCCTAGGCTTCTTTCTTCTTACTCTTCTACCATCTTAAGTGTGCTGCCTCCTGGACCAAAAGGGCTGCTTGAGCTCTAGCCATCCCTTCCACGTTCTAACCAGCAAGAAAAAGAAAAGGGCAAGAAGGCAATTCTTTTTCAATTTAAGGACCTTCCCTAGAAGTTGACCATGATGTTTCCTTGTGTAACTCCTCGGCCACGATTTAGTCAAATGAAACAACTAGCTGCGGGGATACTCAAATGCGTAGTCTTTATTTCAGGCTGCCATGTGTCCAGGTAAAAATCCATTACTAGAAAAGAAAGGGAATAGATATTTAGGTGGACTTGCAGCATTCTTTGCCACAAGCCTACTAACTTATTTGATCCTTATTATCATATTATCCTGTGAGTTGAGCATGATTAATATCCTCATTTTATATTAAAGAAATTGAGGCTCAGAGACATTAACTTGTCTAAGGTCACACAGCTATTAAGAAAGGAGTTGGGACAGAAGGGTGCTCAGCTGATGCCCAGCCTGTATGACCCCATGACGCAGCATGGAGAAACTAGATTGTACATTCATCTTGTCTAACTACAAATGTTTTTTTCTCTTTATTTTTCCTCGCTTGGATGTAGGCATACCCTACATACCTTAATTCAGCTGAGAAAGAGTTAACATTTTTCAAAATAAGTGTGGCTAGGAAACCAAGGAGAGAAAGAAACCACAAGGTAACGAAATGGCTGGGCGGGGAAGCACAGATGGAGTGTCCTGACATAACTGACGCCCAGCCAAGGACTGACCCGGCGGGGACAGCCCAGAGGACGTGCAGGCTCCATTTGGAGGGCGCACAGGCCTCTGTGCCTTACCTGGCCTCCAACCAGTTGTCCTTGAACCTGCCTGAGGCATATTCATCAGCTACATGTTCCCTGGAGCTTGATGAGTTATTTGGCTTTGATCTAGGCTGGCGTCTGGGCCTCCCCTCACTGTCACTCCGTGCTCTTGCTGAATGCTGCTGCCTCTACCTGCTTATAAACCTGGGGTCCTAGTGAACCACCACCAGCTCTGTGTGCAGGCCAAGGAGAAACCTCTGGCTTGCACCTAATTAGCATAGCAAAGGTGACTGACACACCTCAGCCTAATGCCTGTTCAAGACACAGGCCAGCTTTCTCCCCTCTCAGGTTACCTCCTCCTTCGCCAGGTGCTTCTGCAGATGGTTGGGGCATGCCATCTCCAACCTGGGGAATGATTAACCAGAGAAAAGAGCCTCTTAGTCCATGTGGGTGTGATGATTTCTGTAAAGGGCTGCCTCTCGCACAGCCGGATAGCACTTTTGTTTGTGAATGATTTTCCCTTTGTCTCTCACTCTCTCTGTCTTCCTTCCCTTCTCCCTCCCGTCTGCCCACTCTTTGCCCTCTCCTTTCCCTCCCTCCCTCCCTCTCTCTCTCTCTTTCTTCCTCTGTTTCGTACAGTGTTTGTGTGTGTCTAGAGGAAGCAGACAACACCTGCACACAGTCTAGAATGGGGTTCTGTGTTCATTGTGATGCCCAGCAGGAGCTCTTCACCTGGTCTGGGAGAAGAGAGCGTGTTCCGAAAATGCTCCCTGGAGGACATGGCACCAGGGCCCCAAAACAAGTAGGTATGGAGACAAGAAAAGTCTTCTGAAAACAGAATGATTCGTTCTCTGGCTCCACCTGCAAACTGCCAGGCTCTTTTCCTGTGTCTAGGAGTCACCACCCTTCCACAAAGAAATAAACAGCCTCTTCAAGGCAGGAAAGCCATCTCAAGCAGATAGAGGCCTCCGGTTCTCTCCAACCTGCCTCCTGGTTAGCTGTAAGATTCATGGTTTGCTTGAGAAATGAAGGACATGGGATTTTGTGCAGCTGTTTGTCTCTCTGTAGAAGTTTTAGGCTTTTCTGGGGAGGAAATATTCTGGAATGAACCCAGCTCTTCCACATCCTTGTTCAGGCCTTTTGGACTGAGAAAGTCTTGGCCTGGACAGTACACCTTCCACACACAGACTCAAATAACTTTATGAGGCCCAGCCCCATATAACCCTAAATGTGAAACAATAAAGTACTGCTGACTTCCTCCTCCTCCTGTGTACACAGCCGTTACCCAGATTGGGTGTCTATCTGTCTGCTGTGATGAAAGAATAGATGCTTTGTTCTGCCCTCCCTGCTGGAATGACTTTTATCCACATTCACTTGTGAAGGCCCAGGACACGAGGGACCTTGTTCATTTCCAGGGTTTACACTAGAATCCTGAATTCAACACTCAGAAGAGATGTCACTGATTATATGAGTAGTTGGAATCTTTTCTCATTATGAAGTGTGTCAGGAAACAAAAAACAAAACTAGTGTCTGCCGTATAGCCGGAAAGAGCCACCAATGTGTCACTCCCCTGCCAAATTGGGCTTCTTTCTGGAAGATAGGGTACGTTCCCACATCCTACCACGCAGTCTCTAAGAAGTTTTGCGAGGCTGGGAGAAGAGCGAATGACAAGGCTTTCCTTATCCAATCATCCAGGTAAACTCATTGCTCCTCATTTTAAAATAACAGCTTAAAAAGATGTTTTAAACCATAACTTTAAAACAAAATCTGACCACCACAAAGGATTTCATGTTAGGTCAGTAGAAGTTAATTATTCCACTGAGCCACAATTGTCTTAAGCACTTTTTTTTTTCATTTAACAGATGATTTTTAAGCATAGATCATATAAATAGATTTATATTGTTCCCTGCTGGGAATGATAAGATATACAAGACCTGGGCCTTGGCCTTAAAAGCTAACAGTATGGTAATCCTAATGGCTACTAATCACTGAGCAGGACTCTTGTGCCAAGCACTTCAGCTACCCTCACAACGGCTGGAAGCTCCATCTTTATTAGCAGCAAACCGAGGCTGGAAGAAACTGGGTACCTGTTCCAGGTCCAAGAGCTGGCAGATTACAAGAGCTGGACTTCAAATCCAGGTCCGGGGCACCCCGAAACTCAGGCCGTTTCCCACGATTCCATCCTGCCTCTCGGTTTACAGGGGAGGCTGCTCAGTCAGGGTCTTATCAGGAGACAGAAACCACGGCCCTTATTTGAAGCTGTTCACTAGGTAACCGAAAGGGCAAAACGAGAACTCTTAAGGTATCATGGAGGGAGCAACAGCAGGAAGCAGCTACAATGCCAGGGCTGAGGAAACAAATGCAAGAGGTTGCAATTAATAGAATTTAGAAATTGAGAGGACAGGCCCCGTGGAACTGAAACTTGGCCCTCTGAAGACTGGATATGCTTGCTGGTGCTGGTGTCTCTGAGGTCAAAGGAGTCTGGGGCCCAGACTCTGAGAAGCAAGGTGGTAGTGTCTTGGAGGTTGATGCCAAAAAGTGGGTTCTAAGTGTTTGGCAAACTGCAAACTGGATTCAGCTACTGTTATGGGAAGGAACTGCCACTACTGGAGTGAGGAAGCATTGCTGGGGTGACATTCCCAGGACTAGGAAGCACACAGGAAGAGCAGTCTGTTCTTCCTCCCTTGGCCTCACAGCCTCTTCACCCTCCTGTCAGCAGAGCCTTACGTGGAGCCAGCTGGCTGAGCAGAAAAATAGTTTGCAGGGTCCCAACTATAGCATCACAAAACAGAGTAGAGAAGGGCGGGCTTCAAATTGAAAGATAATAACTGGCCCAGGAGGAAAGATACGGATATAAGAAGACATCATCGTAGGTACTGTATGATCATGTCTCTGATGACCCTACGTATTGTAAATGCTTTAAGATCGAGAAGCCAGTTAATGGTTACGTATAAGGATCTTGCTACTAGGCATGGATAACCTTGGGGGCAGGAGCCATGTCCTCTTCATGCCTCCATCCCCAACACCTTCCTGGCAATCAAAGATACCCAGCAAGGGCTGGTTAAACAAAGAAACAACCCTACTGTGATAAGCTGTTATAAGACTATATGTATTTTGCTGCTGGAGTTTCGAGGGCCAGTTCTGAACCCTGGAGGCTGTTCTTAGCCTGACCAAGCCTCAGAATTGTGGAGGATAAGAGGGATTGGTTACTCTCAGTGAGAGCAGATTATAGTGGTCCTTGCTAAGGAATGACAGAGTTAGGGTCTGCCCTGCCCTAGGGAGAGCTGGTGAGGCTCTTCCAGTGTGGCCACGAGGAAGGAGTAGTCATGCTAAGGATAGCTTCTCTCAGTGGTGTGTTTCTACTCCATGATGTGTGGCCCTGCCTACAACACCAGAACCATCTTTTTCTCTCTGGTTCCTGTCCCTCCCTCGTGTCTTGCTATTCTTAGCCCTTGGAACATGTGTGTTTGCCTGAAGTCATGGACACGCACTTCCGTAATCACAGCACAGGCTTAGAGATCTGGAATGGAGCTGGAGTTGAGAATCTGGGCCCTGAAGTTCCTTCTTTAATAACCACCTTGGATGATGCATGAATTCCTGAGAGCCCAGCACATCATCTCTGTGTCAGAGAGCTGGAAGGTGACTCTGAGGTCCCCTGATTCAATGCCCTCATTTTACAGACTCAGAGGTGGAGACTAACCGTCTGTCTTAAACTCTACAGCTGGTAGAGTCCAGAGTTTTTGCACACTGCCCCAAGGCTCCCTGCTCCACTTTCCAGCACGTTTCTCAATTGAATACAAACAGTTGAGTAGAACTTAGTTGATGCAAGGCACAGAGCTTTTGTACATTGGATACAGGGTCCTGAGTTGAGTTAAATTAAATGTTTTCTTTTGGAAAATATTTAAGCATTCTGGATTAGTTCCATCTTAAAGATTTTATTTACTATAACATAACACAACATGATATAGTATAGTATAGTAGAATATTTTGTTCTAAATATAATCGTTAAATAGTGCACACATATAAACATGTATGAATAATAAAAGAAATAGACATATATAATCTAAATCCTTCAGAACTAGGCTTTCCTAGTAATATTTCCAACTCAATAGCAATGTTAAACATAAAGTGGGTTACTCAGGACTTTTCTTTAAGGATTCAGCATGGATCAGGAACTGATTGATATTTGATGGTGGTTCTATGGGTAGCCAAGATTTGTCCCACTCTTTCATTCTGTTTGAATCAGTGATCCTAATAGCCACAGGGCATCTGGCATCAGGACAAGCAGAAGCCACTGAAAGAGAGGAGGGTCAGGTCATCGGAAGTCTCTCAAGGCCCTGAGAACAGCTGGTCAGCTTCACAGGCCCTCCTCTCCTCACTGCCCCCCAGCACTCTTGTGACCTGGCCGAGTTTAACACTTGACTTGACCTTGCCATTGCAAGCACAGAGCGTTCTGTCCAGATAAACCCATAAACAGTTCTTGGAAAACCTGTGGAAGACAAGGCTGAATTAGGAAATTTCTTCCTGTGTTTCTAACAGGGTTTCTTGAGCCCTTTGCTGGAATTCATTTCCATGCTCCCTGGGTATGGTGGTGCGAGGAGGTGGGGTAATGGACACAGTAAAGTTACTGAATAAAAGAAGAATTCTAGTTGCCCGAAGATATTTAAATTTGAACCCTCAACTACATATATAACAGATGTTGCCTTTAATCTAGTCTGTGAGGCAAGAGGATAAAATTTTCATCAATATTAATTTTTAAATGCTCTTTTGGGAGCCCTGTAATGTGTAAGTCCAGCATGAATAAGATAAAAGAAAGGGAAGGAACTATTCAGACTTTAGTATGAGACAAGGTGACAATTGAGAAAAATAAAACACATTTCTCACACAGCCTCTGGTACTTTTTCCTCCACATTGATATTTTCAGTGCTGTGTATCCACAAAGACAAATATATCTGTAAATAACACATTATTGGGGGGGTGGTGGTAAAGTTATCTTCTGATTATCAAAGTAATAAAATCTTGCTGTAGAAATCTAGAAAGTATAAAAAAAATGTAACAGAAGGAGAAAAATAAGCCATCCATAATCTTATTATTTCTCCTCCTAGATCATACTGAATATACCATTTATATAGTCTTTTTTCCCACACAAACTATTTATAAGTATTATATTTGAAAGCCTATGTTTGAGTCTATCATATGGATGCCTCAGACTTTTCTTCATTCTTTCCATTGTCATCCTTACCTTTTTTTTAAACTGTTGTAGAAAATTCTGAGATGTATATCTTTGTGCATAAAGTTTTTTCTGTTAGAAAAGATTTCCAGAAGTGAGATTTTTTAATAAAAAAGTTTAGGCTCTCTATATATTGCAAAATTCCTTTCCCAGAAGGGGATTCTAACATCACAGTTCCTCTTATAGCATATGAAAGTATCAAGTATCAGTTTCATACAAACATGCAGGCATCGAGCATTTTCTCTTTTTGTTTTAAAGAACTAATAATGAAAAGTATGTGATTGCTGTTTTTCTCTATGTATACATTTGATCATTCATATGGTGGAACTGGCCACAGGGGCGGGGGCTGTGTCTGTTTTGCTTCTTGCTAAATCCTTAGTGTTGAGAAGAGCGCCTGATGTATAGAGGGCACCCAATAAATACTATTTGAAATGAATTTTCAAATTATATCCTTTGTCCACTTATCTATCAGGAAATAATGTTTTTAATGATCAGATATTTGAAAATGATAGGATCCTTTGCTGGGAAGACTGAGGGTTTGTAATCCAGTTATAAAAAGTAGCTTACAGGGGCTGGCCCAGTGGTGCAGTGGTTAAATTCGCACGTTCCGCTTCTCGGCGGCCCGGGGTTCGCTGGTTTGGCTCCCGGGTGTGGACATGGCACCGCTTGGCAAGCCATGCTGTGGTAGGCGTCCCATGTATAAAGTAGAGGAAGATGGGCACGGATGTCAGCTCAGGGCCAGTCTTCCTCAGCAAAAAGAGGAGGACTGGCAGTAGTTAGTTCAGGGCTAATCTTCCTCAAAAAAAAAAAAAGTACCTTACAGATTACATCCCTGCATATAGGAATTGGCTTACCTTTCTGATTTTGGAAGATTTGCCTAGTCTTCGGAACAGAACTGCGGAAAAGAAGTCACGAAAATGCGTTTGTATCCTGGTTTGACCAAGAGTGAAGTACGTGACTTTGGATCAGTTCTGTAAGATTTTTGTACCTCATCTGTAAAACAAAACAAAATAAAACAAAAGATAGCAAATATATTCTCTTTTATCTTATGGGATCATTGAGACAATGTGACAGGATAATTATAGGTAATAATTAAAAGTAAAATTTTTGAAATGCAAAAAGTCACATTCAAATACAAGACCAAAGTACTACTTTTCAGTTGCAGGGTTTTGGTGACAAGTCTTACTTTCCTCATTTATAAAAGGAGAAGAGGCTTGGGTTAGCATAACACCTAGTGTATAAGTGTACGATAAGTATTAGTTGAATAAGTTATTTCCAAAGCTCTTGTTTTGACTCTATGATTCTGAAATGCCCCATAGGTTGAAAAAAAAAGTTAAGAACGTGGTTACGAAAAGTAACGGTTGCTCGAATATTTGAAGTTAAATTTGATCACAAAGAATTAAGTCAGAATAAAATTTCCTTCTGATGATCCCCCCAAAAGAAAGCTTTAATATGATACACAGAACAGTTCTTCATATACAAAGGAAATAATTCCCAAAGGAGGGAAGAGAATTCAGATGGGAAATCCTTATTTGCCCAATGTTTATTAGAGTAGCTAGCAAATTAGAAACAATCCAAATTCTCAACAATAGAGGAATAGCTAAGCCCATTAGATTATCCTAACCTGATAGAACACTCCTTAGTCAATGGTGGCAAATGTATGACCTGTGTCATTACATGGAAATGTGTGTAGAAAGTAGGAGCAAGTGAAGAACAGAACACAAAACAATGCACACACCCAGGTTAAAGTCACATGAAAACATACAAATACATATTTTTAAAGACAGGAAAGAGCTTGTAATGAGAAAAGCAAGTAGACGTATATGTTCATCAAGTTCTCTTTTTCCACCAAATAAAATTGCCCAGCTGTTTCACTTTTTTAAAATAAAAAAAAACGCCGTGAATTCAAAGGATAGCTCAACAGTCTTATCCTAAAACATGATGGCTATAAAATATAGGCAGTTGCATAATAAGCCAAGAGAGTCCCTCCAAAAAAGACACATCTTCTGTCCAGGCTTGTCCATTGCTTGATGTTTCTCTTGACTAAATAATGATTAATAGGCTGTATAAACAGTGTGCTACGTACTTGTATTTGGTTGTGGATGGGGAAATTATTTATAGTTGCCTGAAGCCAGCGTGGCTGTCTGGTATTTCTATGGGATTGTCTTCACCTCAGAAGGAAAAAAAAAAGCAAAAACCTTCGTTTTGTAAAAAGAAGAAAAAAGCATTAAAAAAAATCTGTGCAGGTGTCTCTGAAATCACTTTCTGTAAGCTGAAATAAAGAGTCATATCTTTGCAGGTAGTCTGGAAAAAGAGGAAAATAAGTGACTGAAAAATGTAAGATGAATTTCTGAACTTTGTGGGAGGAACCTTCACATAAACCACAAAAAGTTGGCTTTTGACTAAGTTCCCGAATGAAAAAGTTAGTTTCCTGTTTGCTAGGGGTTATATTTTAATGTCTTTTTTGGACTTAGTTAGATAATTTTCAAGAACACATGGAAAAAGTCTTGGCAAGACCTTTTCATCCCCAAAGAACTATGCAAATAAAAACGGTACAGAAAACACTTTGATTAATCAATCAAGGACAACACTCCATTTGATGTCAAAACTTTTTCTGGAGATAATTTACAACCACAATACTGGTAAAATAATGCTGAGCAGCATTTTACAAAGTTTAGGACAGGAAGTTAAAACTCTTGAGACAATGCAAAAGGAGAAAAAAATACATAGATAAGCCAAACTCTGTTATCTAAAATTAAATCTGACCAGGCTGGTAACAATGGTAAGAGTGAAAGAAATAATAGTGAAAATGTTTTTGAACACACTGAGTCAATAATTGTACTTAATACTTTACATGTCCTATCTTATTTAATCCTAACAACAATAGACACTTAGAAAAATAAGGTAAATTGTTTCAAGTCCCCAGCTAGCAGACACTAGATCCAGGATATGAACACAAGTCTGTCTAATTTCCAGGGGCTTAGCTCTTAACCACTAGGATACACTGCCTAACCCTGATGTTACAATAATAGGTTTTGACCAAACTCAATTGTTTTTTACCACATAGCTCATGTGCTCACGGATTATTATCTATATATTAATAAAAGGAAAAGTGCTGTGAAATAGTTGTATGATTTTACACACAATAAATGTTTTATTACATAACCCTCTAGAAGAAATGTTTTGGGAAGCAATCCATGGGAGTTCTTAGACTACAAGTAAGCCAAAGCTCTTTGAATGATGGATCGTCTCTGTTTTTTCAGCCTCCTGTTATTGGTACAACCATTGATAAACTGATCAAGGCTAAAAGAGAGAGAACATAAATTATGAATATCAGGAACTTTTAAAGAGAGGATACCAGTAGTGAGCCTGCAGATATGAAATGAATAAAAGGAATATTTTAGAAATTTTGTAAGAAACTTGACAATATTTCTTAAGAGACACAATTTTCCCAAACTGACACAAGATAAAATAGAAAATTTGAGTAGCCCTATGTCTATTAGAGAAACTGAATTTTTGTCTAAAATCTTTACACAAAGAAAACTCCAAGGCTGGGTAATTTTGCTGGCAAATTCAATCAAATATTTAATGAATAAATAACATCAATCTTAGATAAACTCTTTCCAAAAACTTGTTTTATGAGACGAGCATATCCTGATACCAAAACCTGATAAAAATATTGAAATAAAACAAAATTACTGACCAATATCCTTCGTGAACATTCTTAACAGAAGGTTGACAAAATTAATTCAGCAATATATAAAAAAGAATAAAACATTATGACTATGTATAAGTCAGGGTTCTCCAGAGGAACAGAACCAATAGGATATATATATATAAAGATACATGTAAGAGGAGATTTAGTAGAGAAATTGGCTCACGTGATTATGAAAGCTAAATCCCACAGTCTGCCTTCTGCAAACTGTAAAACCAGGAAAGCCGGTGGTGTAATTCAGTCTGAGTCCAAAGCCCTGAGAATTGGGGAGGCTGATTGCCTAAGTCCAGATCTGAGTGCGAAAGCTTGAGAACCAGGACTGCTGATGTCTGCCCTTTTGTTCTGTTCAGGGGCTCAATGGATTGGATGATACCCACCCACATCGGGGAAGGCCAAATGCTTGACTCAGTTCACCAATTCAAATGCTAATCTCTTCCAGAAATACCCTCACAGACACACAGAGAAAGAATGTTTTACCAGCTCTCTGGGCATCCTTTAGCCCAGTCAAGTTGATTCATAAATTTAATATCACAGATTAAGTTGAGTTTGTCCTAAGAATGCAAGATTAGTTTAATCTTTTAAAATCAGTGTAATTCACTGTATTAACAGAATAAACGAGAAAAAAATCAATAGATGCCGAAAACCATCTGACAAAAGTCACACTGATTCATGGTAGAAACTCTCAGAAAATTAGGAATAGAAGAGAACTTCTTCAATCAGATAAAGGGCACCTACAAAAGAACCTATATATAGTTTGACATCTGATGTTGAAGTATTAAAAATGTAGTACAGCAACAAGGCAAGAATTTTTGGTCTTAGAATTTTGAATCAAATAGTACTGGGAGTTGAAGCCAGTGCAATAAGACAATGAAAAGAAATAAGATGCATAAGGATCAAAAAGGAAGCACTAAAACTAGTTGTATTTACAGGCAATTTGAATGTTCACAATGAACTCCTCAGAATCTACAAAACATCTACTGGAACTGACAGGTGAATTTAGTGAAATTACAGGGGTTTGTACCAATACATAAAAGCCAATGTGGTTTTATAAATATTGAAAAATACACAATTGAAAATAAAAAATTTAAAATTCCATTTCCAATAGTTTCAAAATATATGTATTCTTAAGACTAAATTTAGCAAAAGACATGCAAGATCTGCACTGAAAAAACACTGCTGAGATTTATTAAAGTATATCTAAATAAACAGAAAGATATGCCATGTTCATGGATTGGAAAATTCAATATTGTTAAGCTATCACTTTTCCCAAAATCGATCTGTAGATACAATTCAATCCCAATCATAAGCCCACCTGGAGTTTTGCAAAAATTGACAAGCTATTCCTAAAATTCACATGGAACTGTAAGACCTAGAATATTCATAGCTATTTTGAAAAAGAAGAGCAAAGTTAGAGAGTTTAATTACCTGACTTTAAGATAATCTTTAAAGCTATAGTAATCAAACAGAGTGATAACTGGAACAAATAAATTAATGGAAAAGAATAGAGATCTCAGAAATGGGCCAACACTTACATGGTCATTAAATTTTTTAAACAATGCCAAAACAACCCAAAGAGAAAAGAAAAATATTTCCAATAAATTATGTTAGAAAAAGTGAGTATCCATGTGGGAAAAATTTTAAACTTTTGCTCATCAAAGACATCATTTAAAAATGAATAGAAATTGCACAGATTCCAAGAAAATACTGGAACACATATATCTGACAAAGGGCTTCTATCCAAAATACATGAAGAACTCTTTTTAAGTCAAAAATAAGACAAACAATCCAATTAAAAATGAGCAAAAGCTTTGGCCAGACCTTTAGCAAAGGAAGATAAGTGGCCATTAAGTACATGAAAAAATGCTCAATATAATTTGTCATCAGGGAAATTTAAATTAAAACACAATGAGATACGATTGCAAACCACCAGAATGGCTAAAATTAAAAGAAGTGACACCACTGGATATTGGCAGGGATATGTAACACTGCTATGCATTGTTGGTGGGAGTGTAAGATTCTACAATCAGTTTGGAAAAGGCTGATATTTTCTTATAAAGGTAGACATATTCTTACTCCAGAAGCCAACAATTCCATTCATAGATATTTACCCAAGTGTGCTAATTTTCTATGACTACCATAACAAATTACCTCAAACTTAGTGGCTTAAAACAACATAAATTTATTATCTTACAGTATTGGAGGTGAGAAGTCTGACATAGGTCTCACTAAATCTGTGTCAGTAGGGCTACATTTCTTTCTGGAGGCTCCAAGGGAGAAT